AAGTTCCATTCTTTTATCATCATGGCAGAAATATGTAGGGATTTCCTGCTCAGTGCATCTGCTACAATATTCGCCTTTTCGGGATGGTAGGATAAGGTAAAATCATAATCTTTAAGAAAATTCATCCACCGTCTCTGTCTCATATTCAGCTCTTTCTAGTCGAACAGATATTTCAGGCTTTTGTGATTGCTGAATACTTCGAATCTTGATCCAAATAGGTAAGCCTTCCAGATTTTTAGTGCAAATACTACTGCTGTTAGCTCCAAATCATGTGTGGGGTAGTTGACTTCATAAGGTCGGAGTTGTCTTGAAGCATATGCAACTACTCTCCCAGATTGCATCAGGACACACCCAAGTCCTTGTCTTAAAGCATCACAATATACTTCAAACTTTTGCTCCGGGTCTGTCAAAATAAATACTCGAGCTAAGGTTAACCTTTCCTTTAAGTTTTGAAAGTTGACTTCGCATTCTTCATTCCACTCAAAGTCTTTTCCTTTTCTCGTCAGTTTCGTTAAAGGTAGAGCTATTTTAGAAAATCCCTCAATGAATTTTCTATAAAGCCAGCTAATCCAAGGAAACTCCTGATCTCAGTCAGAGTAGTAGGTCTCGACCATTGAGCCACTACTTCTACTTTTATTAGGTCGACTGTAATTTCTTCCTTTGAGACAACATGTCCCAAGAAATAGATCTGTGGAAGCCAGAATTCACACTTAATTTCACGTAAAGCTGTCTTTTGCTCAGTATCCGTAAGACAACTCTTAAATGTTCAACGTGCTCCTCATGATTCTTGGAATATATCAAAATGTCAATGTCATCAATAAACACTACTACAAATTGATCCAAGAATTCATGAAAAATCCTATTCATATAGTCCATGAACACGACTGGAGCATTAGTCACACACCAAATGGCATCATCAGATATTCGTAATGACCATAGCAAGTTCTAAAGGCTGTTTTGGGGATATCTTCCTTTTTCACTCAAATATGATGATAACCCGATTGCAAATCGATCTTTGAGAACACTGAAGTTCCCCGTAATTGATCCATCAAATCATTGATCTGAGGAATAAGGTACTTATTTTTTATTGTCACCTTATTCAACTAACGATAATCAACGCACATTCTCATACTCCCATCCTTCTTTTTCACCAGCAGTACTGGAACTCCCCATGGTGACACGCTTGGCCTTACAAATTGCCTTTTCAACAAATCTTCCACTTGCTTTTTCACTTTGGCCAACTCCACTGGTGACATTTGATATGGTATGATAGATACTGGACTTGCTCCCAGAATCAAATCAATAGCAAATTCGATATCTCTTTTTGGTGGCAATTCAGTTACATCTTCCAGAAAAACTTCCAGAAAATCTTGCACCACTAGAATATGCTCAGCTTTCATGGCCTTATTAATCTCAGCAGAAAATAATATCATGAAAGCCTTAGCACTCACGTTTTGGAGTCTAGATTTTCTCGGTGTATCTTCACCAAAGATTAAAGCTTTCTCCTTAGAATCTAACAGAACACGATTGGATGACAACCAATCCATACTCAAAACAACATCAAGTTGGAAAAACGGTAAACAAATTAAGTCCACACAGAAATTTCTACCATGAATCTTCATATAATAGCCTAAGCATACAGAAAAAGTCACAATAGGCGTAGCTGTAAGAGTGGACATAACAACATTACATGGTAGAGAAGATATTGACAGTCCAACGCAATTCACACAATCTATAGAAACAAAGGAATGTGTGGCACCAAAATCATATAGAACATCGCAGAGCCTATCATTAATGATGCATTTACCTCTAATCAGTTGATCAGACTTAGATGCCTCATCCACTAATTGCTCTAGATGCGGGCTAGTTGCTTCCACTTGCACTCCCACTCCGTTGAGGAGCTGACCAACAATTATTTGCAGAGTGTCCTGTCTTCCCAGAGATATTACAGGCTGCTGGTGGCTGTAAACAATTTCTCACCAAATGAAGTTTTCCACATCTAAGGTCCTCTAGGGAACCTTGTAGGTCTGCAGTCCTGGCTCACCGGTCCTCCAATTCGGCTATCCACTGTCTTGCCTTTGGAATTTGCCTCAAAGATTCGGCATTTGCTGACCAACATTGGCAAATCAGTCAGCTAAAAGACACTAACCGCTGCTCGAATCTCTAACCTCAATCCATTCTCAAATTGGGTGCACAGATCTTCATCTCCATCCTCGTGCTAGAAATGGGGTCAATACTTCATGAGTTCGTGAAATTTCGCAGTGTACTCTCCTACGGACATGTTCCTTACTTCAACTCAAGGAATTTCCAGGCCTTTTGTTTCTTCAAGTCCCTAGGGAAGTAGTTTCCTAAGAAACACGCCTTGAAAGCTTCCCAAGGGATGTATCCTTCTTCTTAGGGTAGAGTTTGACTAGCGAACCTCTACCAATCCTCTACTTCACCACCCAACATATAGGTGGCACAGACCACCTTGTGTTCCTCGTGACATCCCATCGCATTGAAAATATTTTCTATGTCTGCTATCCATCTTTGCACACCTTTAGGATCAAACTTCCCCTTGAACTTCGGAGGGTTATGTTTCATGAACAAAGAGAGTCCACAATACTCAGCTGGCTCCGCATCTTGCTTTTGCACCAAGTTCTCTAGGACTTGCGCCATGCGGGCCAAAATCTCATTCGTAGCACCAGCAGGTCTACCTCTACTAGCCATAATTCTATTTCTAAAAAATCAAATTTCACATATCAGCTTTCATTTCAATACATTCCAAATCAAATTCAAAACATACAGACACTCCAAACATCTCAATCAAATCAAACAATCCATAACCACTAGGTTGCATTAACAAACAATTCCTAATCAATATCACATTATCACGATGAACTAGTCTCATACCCTAAGCTGGTTTGGATGAACTGCTCCGATACCAAATTGTAACACCTTATTCTCAGAATTCCGTATAATGTATGTTCTTAATCTTGTAAAACCGAATGTCAATTTATTTGCTTTAGTGGAAATAATTATAGTAATTTAATGAAATTTTTCTATAAGATATAGTGCCTTGTATAATTAATTCAAAATAAATCATTATAAGTGATAGGACAGTAATTTCAATATGAAGAACATGAAGAAGAATTTTACTATAACAATTTTCCTTCACACAGTAAAATGCACAGTCTAGCCTAAAAGTAACGTGAAGAAGAAGTTACTTGAAGAACATGTAATTTTACCATAAGAAGGAGATGGCACGGGTGTGAAGGAGAACTTTTTTTTTTAGGTTACGAGGTTTAGTAACATGTGTAGGTCTGTAGAATAAGTTTAGTGCAACATAAGACTTAATTTTTTTACTTATACGGTGTCACGTAGAGACATCTAAATTAGATGTCTAAATAGCATTACTCTGCATCTTTGTTCATGAAAGTGTTATACTGTTAAAAAAAAATTTATTAGGTTATACTGTTATTTTTTTTCCTATTAAAGATTATAATTCTATATTATTTTTAAAAAAATACACTAATGGAGCTGAAATTCTAAAAATGCGTTACTGAAAGGTACACGCACGGGTTCTTAACGATAAGTAGGAAGCCTTACTTTGGTCAAAACTGATAAACGTGGATCTTTATCGACCAAAAGAAACAAAACAAAACTCTGCGTTCCGACCACTTAAGAAAGCCACAAATGCAAAACATGCCCTCTCTCAAGTCAACCTTGTCTTGTCTTTCTGTTTAATGAATTTTGAAATTCCATCCCATTGGCCATTCCCAACAACCCATTTGGAAATAAATACTGGAAATTTCAGCTTCTTTTCCACTCTTTGGCCATTGCTTACATTTATAGAATAATAAAATAAAAATATTCTATATAAAATGAGAAAATATTCTTATATTCTTTTATACATATAACAATTATAACTGTTAATTTTATATTAATAAATAATAAAATTAGTTATTTATTTAAAAAAGAGAAATATTTTTTAATATTGTAACATAATTTATAAAGAATATTTAATATTTTTTAAAATTTAGAAATAATTGTAATAAGTACTTAATTTTAAATGTTTATGTTTTTTTCTATAAATATTATTAATTGTAAAATGAAATATTATATATATATATATATATATGTTTATGTAATGCTTATTTTATAAATAATTTTATAAATAATAAAATAGTTATAGAAGAATATTATAGGAATATAGCAAAACTCCATTTTATTGATTAGACTCTTAGAAGCCCAACTTTCTACCTTTACTTGAGAATTTGACTTAAATGAAATATCATATTCATAAACCAACTGCTCTTGTCCCTTTCTTTTTTCTCTTGCGTATAAATTAACGCGGTTATCTAGACTTGCTTTATTTTATTGTTCGATTCTAAACAATGAAATTGCCCAACTTTTGGCGGTAAACAATGTGATATCATTGGTTTTGTAAAATAAAAGATTAGAAGAGGCATTAATTCTATGATTAGAAACTGGTTTAGTTGAAAATCATTTGGCAGGGTGAATGAATCAAACTCTTGTATATTAACTCAATTCCTGTTTATTTGTGCAGAAAATAAATACAAATTAAGGAATTTAATCATTTTATTTTAATTTATTAGTAAATTCTTTAATATATTATATATACTGTATTAGTAAGTGTTTCTTTGACATTTATGCTACACAATTAGTATAAATATTTAAATTTTTTATAAAAAATATTAATAAAAATATAACAAATAAAATTACTTTAAACTTTAAATAACAGATAAATAAGAGTAATATTTTTTTAGCACATTCTTTTATTATTAATTAAAAATAATTGAAAGTCACAAAATATACTTATTTAATAAATTTTATGATTTTAAACAAATATAATAAGCAGTGTGATATATAAAAACTCGTTAAAATTATACTAAACTATATTTGAACCTAAAAGTTTATTACTTAAAATATTTTAACTAGGTGGACTGATCTAACATGTGCAAAAACATTTATGTAGAAAGAAAGGGGTGTTAGGAAACACGGTGAGGTAGCACGTGACAACACACGGTGGTTTGAAGCATTCCTCGTCGTCATGCATTTTCCTTGTAATTTCTCTTGAAACGTTTGGAACACGTCCACTACTTAAACCTGCCCTTTCTCTCACTCTGTCCACTTGGGTCAACTTAATTTGCTTACTTCTCACACTCATTCCATTGTTATTTCTTTCTTCTTTTCAATTCCACCACTCTTTCCTCTTCTCTACACAAGTTCTGAGGCTTTTTCCTTGATGGGTTTTCCCGTTTGAGATGGGTTGGTGAGTGCTATTTTGGGTTTGCTTCAAAAATGGCTTCTTTTCTGAGAAAACTGAGGCCTTCTGGGCCTCCTGTTGTTGTTGAAACCCAAGATAGCATAAGCAACTATGAGTACTCCCTTGCTGTGCTCTATACTGGCCCTCCTCTCAGTTTCTCCATTCCTGAAATTCCTGCTTTCAAAATTGACCAAATCCCAGTTGCAACCATTGCTCCTTCTCTCTCTCATGATGATTTCTCTATCCCAGTTATTCAACCTCTTGGCAAAGTACCTCACAAAAAGAAGCAGCAGAAACTGTCCACTAAAGATTCTGTTGTTGTGCCTTCAAATTTCGACACTCATGCAATTACATCATCATCACCAGACGGTGCCGGTTATGTTGATGTTGTTGTGCACAAGAGTCCAAGTCCATGCACTTTGATACCACCTGGAGTTGTTGATGATGATAGAGATGGCACCTTTCCCACAGCTTCTGACACCACAGAATCAGGTTCAAGCTCTCTTTCTGGTTCTTCTGATGAGATTTGTTCTTTTAGAGAAGATGAGCATGGGGGTGAAAAGGCTCCTAGTCCAAAACATGTTAAGCGTGTTTCTGCTGTGACCTTTTGTGATCCTGAGTCAAACTACATGGTAGAGTCAGATAGTGAGTGGTCATCTGATTCTCAAGTTGGAAGTTTTCCTGCGAAACCACGTGCTGTGAGAGCTGGGAACAAAGGTTCTTGCTATAAGTGCCTTAAGGGGAATCGTCTCACACAAAAGGAGGTTTGCATTGTTTGCAGTGCAAAGTATTGCCGAAGCTGTGTGATAAGGGCTATGGGATCCATGCCTCAGGGAAGAAAATGTGTTACTTGCATTGGTTACAGAATTGATGAGAGCAAGAGGGGAAAGCTGGGGAAATGGTCTAGGATGCTCAAACAGTTGCTGTCTGAGTTGATTGTGGATCAAGTCATGGATGATGAAAGGTCTTGTGAAGCTAATCAAGTATCACCAGAGCTTGTTTGTGTCAATTTGCAACCTCTTAATAGGGAACAGCTCAAGGTGCTCCTTAACTGTCCAAACCCACCAAAACAACTGAAACCAGGATCCTACTGGTATGATAAAGCATCTGGATTTTGGGGAAAGGTGAAAACTTAACCTCGACAAGCACTTCACTTAAATCTATTTAGGAGGCCTTTTGGTAAATTGCTCAATTAAGCGTTTATTTAATGTGTTTCTATAATATGAGAGTTTATTTAATAAATTTGGTCATGAAACATATTGATATAAGCTAAAAAGTGCTTGTAAGAGTCATAACCTATTTTCACAAGTTCTGCAGAAATTATTCCAAATGCCTCCATTATCCCTCTTAAAGTAGCACTTAGAGTTAAAGGTCAAGGAATGTGCCTTCAATTTGATTTTACTTAGAAAACTCATCCATGAATCTTCGATCCCCTTTAATGATTTTCCAAGTGAAGTTCTAATCTGCTGTATTTCGTGATTATACAGGAAGGTCAACCGCCTAGTGAAATTATCAGCCCCCAGCTGGATGTTGGGGGTCGCTTGCCGAGACATGCGAGCAATGGAAACACAAATGTGACTATAAATGATCGTGAGATTACACAGAAAGAGTTATGGATACTGAAGGTTGTTGTGTTGGACACTCATTTTTTATTGCTTAGATTCCTTTTGAGACCATTAAACCAAAATGTTGCATTACATTGATTGATGCAGTTGGCTGGAGTGCCGTGGGAGGGAACACCTAACTTTTGGGTGAATGCTGATGGATCATACAGGGAAGAGGGACAGAAGAAAGACAGAGGGTGTATATGGGATAAGGTGATCATTGTTGAGATGCATATTCCCTTTCCCTGTTTGGTTTTTATTGTAAAATTGGCTCATCAATAGTTGTGGATTTCTTTTTTGCAGCGTGGAACAAGGTTAGCTTGTGCAATTCTGTCTCTGCCAGTTCCTTCAAAGAAAGTGACTCTTGCTTGTGAAGGAGAAAAGGCTATCATAGATAGTCTTCATCAGAAAACACTTCACAAATTTTTACTTGTTGGTTCTGTTAATTCTGGAACATGTACTATATTTAAACAGGTAGGTTGCTCGTTGATATATCTCATTTTTTTTCATGCCCTTTATGTTGTATTCATATGCATGAATGCTTAATGACCTGCCAAAGTACATGTAATGCCAGTAAATTTAATAACAATGCTGTGATTTTAAATGGTGAAGGATAGCCCAATTTGTTTTTGGCTCTTAAAAGTTACTTTTAGTTTCCAAAGAAGGGTTATGCTTTGTCCTATCAATATAGTGTTGGATATAGGAGAACTAACTATGAAGTTGCCTGACAGACCCTATGTATTATCAGTTTTGACTCTCGAGTTCACAGAGAAATCAACAAACAGTTTATAAGGTCCTCGCTTGCTTCTTCTTTAAAGCTGTCCTGTTCTCTATATTATCTTCTAGAAAGTAGAAATGCTCAATTTAAGAGGGTCTTTATGTGTGTGATGTCAATGTTAGGATCATAAGAGCTCCAGTTGTGGATTCTTATCAATCACATTGCTAGTTGTCATGAGGTACAGTGATAGTGCTTAATCTGTATCTTGAAACAAAGTCTTGTTAATGTAAATTGTAACTGGTCAAAGTTTGGAGTTTACTTTCCTCTTATGGTGTGTATTTGACTGCTGGTCTTAATCATTTTTTATGCTTTTAATTAAAAACTTGATTTTGAGTGACACTAAGGACTCAATCTTTTATCTTAGGCCAAGCTTCTCTATAATGTTCCTTTCTCTGAAAATGAGCTCCAAAATATCAAGCTTGTAATCAAAAGCAACCTGTTTACTTACCTTGGTATACTGCTGGAGGGGCGTGCAAATTTTGAAGAAGAGAGTTTGTCGGAGAATACAAAAAGAAGACCTGTGGATGAATCCACTTCATCAGGTAATTGGTTTTTCCTTGCACAAAAAGTTAACCAGAAGGCTGTTTCTGTTTGGTCTTTGGATGAAGTAGGGGGCACCATTGTTTTGAACATTTTCCCTTTTCAAAATTTTCTGGATAGGGTAGACTATAAAAGAAGTTGTGTTCATGCATTCAACCTTACTTTAAGATTATTGTCAACATTTCTATAATTTCCTCCTTTTTTCAACTAAAAATAGTTAATCTATGTTTGTTTAGCCCCTGCAAATGGCAGTAGATGCACAGCTTTCCTTTTTCTATACATACAGTTTATGTGATTTTATGTTAGTGGAAAACCAATGCTTCAGACTAGTTCATTACTTTCTTGACTTTTTGGGGTGTTTCTGTATATTGTGATTTTGATTCTAAGAGAAACCTTTTTACCTTCAGTTTTGTGATTCTCTTTTTTCATATCATTCCTAATAGATGTTAAACCTTCGTAATAGCTGATAGAAGAAGCTTGTCTGCCAATAGTAGTAGTACATGTGTTATGGAGAGAAGTCATTAATTTTAGTTTGCAGCAGGGAATACCAGAAGTGGTAATGTTGAAACAACACTCTATACCATCGGCCCACGACTGAAAGATTTCTCAGATTGGCTACTCAAATACATGGTGTCAGGTACCTTGGATACAATATTTCCAGCTGCTACACGTGAGTATGGGCCACTAGTGGAGGAATTGTGGAGGGATAAGGCCATTCAGGCGACATATAATAGAAGAAATGAACTGAAAATGCTACCTAGAAGCGCAAACTATTTTCTAGATCGGGTATGATCATACTTGGTTGTCCTCTTCATTACATTATTAATGAAGCCACTCTGATTATTGAATTTGTTAAATTTTTACTTTGTTGCCATTTTCTTTATTCCTTCTGTTTGGGAATTGAGTTAGAGCACAGATTATTTGAAACATAATCAGAAGCTGAAATTAAACAATACATTTACAGAATGTGGAATTTGAACAACGGTTTTTCCTTGCATAAGTGCTTTTACAGTCTTATGCTTTTCTTTTTCTCTTTTAACCCCTTTATGACACCTGGTGTTTCAACAAGGCATATCACTGTCTAAATCAATTCAGTGGGTTACCAGAGATGTTGTGAATCTTGGCAAAGGAGAAAAATCGTTTATACTAGTTAAATATATAATGTTCTGATGAACAATTTATTAACAATAGATGACTAAATCCTTTAGATTCTTTAATTATTTGGCTACGAATGTGGCAGTGCATTATATCAACTAATGCTAGCTTTTCATCAAAATCTAATTATATTTCTGCATACAGGCAGTTGAAATTTCCAAGATAGACTACGAACCTTCTGATATGGACATCTTGTATGCTGAGGGGATATCGATATCCAATAGTCTCACTTCAATGGAATTTTCATTTTCCAAGTCAAGCAGTGAGGAGTCCTTGTTTCCTGAGTATCAACATGAATCTTCTCTTAGGTTAGCTCCCTCATTTCATGCAGTTTTTCACATACGAACTTGTTACATTTGAATTGAACTCACATCCAGTTTAAGATTAAAGTGAAAAGTCAGCTCTCACGGACCAACGTGGCGGGTTTACTTAATTTATTTGATGCAAACATGTTCTTAGTTGTCGACAGATTTCCTAGTTCTTACCCCATTTTATGTACCACTTATAGATACCAACTGATCAGAGTGCATCCTACAAGCCTTGGAGAAAACTGCAAGTGGCTGGAGATGTTCGAAGACACCGATGTTGTAATGTTCTCAGTCGCCTTATCCGACTATGATGAATACACCATAGACAGAAAAGGAGTTTCTACCAACAAGATGTTGGTAGCTAAGCAACTCTTTGAAACAATCATTGCTCATCCATCCTTCCACAACAAAAAATTTCTTCTAGTGCTGACAAAATTTGATCTGCTTGAGGAAAAGATTGAACACATTCCTCTAACACAATGTGAATGGTTTTGTGACTTCCATCCATTTATCAGTCCCAATCACAAGAAAGGATGTAGCAATAGCAATAACCTTTCATTAGCTCAATGTGCTTTCCAATACATAGCTGTCAAGTTTAAGAGATTGTTCCATTCACTCACTGACCGAACTCTATTTGTTTCATTGGTTAATGGGTTGGAACCTGATACTATTGATGAAGCTCTCAGATATGGTAGGGAAGTTATGGAGTGGGAAAAATGGGATCCCTCTAAGGTAACTGATCTGAAGTCTGAGATTACTTCAACTAGCCTTGACGAGCCAAGTTACTCATGAAGTTTAATTTCCTCCAAAATATTTGTATAAAGAAACTTAGTTTTGTAAAGGGTTTAGAAGAGTTCATGAATTTTCATATAGGTATTCATGTGGGGCATTCATAAAATTTGACTATAAATTCATTCTTAGGTTGGACCCCCGACTATGGTATCATGAAATTCGATGTATAGATGTACACCTCGTCGCATAATAGAAAAAAATTTGTATGATCAATATCACGTTGTCTCAACCAATTATATTATATCACATATAAATTTATAATTTACTAAAAATAATTTTCACATGGTAAGATAAGAGTATCGAGGACCATCCACTCAATAATTGTACCATATAATGAGAAATAGCAGAGAAAAGTTGACAATTCTGTCATCAAGATAATATTTTTTCTTCTATTTTTCTGACGATCTGAAATTGATGTTCACACGTTTGCAAAAAAAAATATCCATGGTGAAAGAATTTGTTTCTTTCTTTCCTTATGGTCAATGTTGTCCCTCTCTGAATAAAGATATTATAGCTATTTTGTAACGTACAAATATAACTTTCCATGTATCGTGCCGATCCTGATATTTTTGAAGGTTGTCAAATATCTTGATTAGAGCAGAACATTTTACCCATAATATCTTGTAACTAAGCTTTCAAGCTAAGGAGCACGTACACTAAAATTTTGATAAAAATATGCAAGAGATTTTATTTTATTTTCTAAAGATTGTTCTTGCCTAACATTTGGTGGGTGCTCCACGGTGGAGTGAATCATGTCAAAATGCCTTCGGATTCGGATGAAGCGACAAGTATCACATGAATCAATGTTTATGTGAGGAAGAAGTAGAAGTAAATTGTTTAATTGATGAATTAGAACGTATCCGAGATTGTTGAAATGCCTAACTGACTAGTGTTTGAGAACTAATATGATGGCATTCAAATTTTGGAAAATAGGAAAATAACCATTTTAGAGACACCGAAGAGAACAATGTGACAATGATTAAATATGTCTCATAATTTAAAATTTTATCGAAGATATTGTGATAACTTCCTTCACAAATTGCAATTACTTCACAAATCAATTCAGTTTTCTTATTTGTAAAATAGATTCCCTCTCTTATTCTATATACATACACCTCAAAACACGTTCAAAAAGTAAAGGAGAGAATAAAAAACTATCTCCCAAAATTATTTTAAAACATATTTCAATTATTGCAACTCAAGTGACTGGTTTCTTTTCTTATTGTAGTGACTTTAGTTGAATCTATTTAATGAAGGGTTTGTCTAAATTATTTTTAGGATAATAACTTCATCATAAAAAGATTACTGAAGTTAAGACACCGTGTTAAAAATTATACTGATTTTTTTATTTCAGCTTTTGTGGTAAAATCTTGTAAGTCCATCTAAGATAGACAAACTCACAATACATTCAAATGCTTGCCTTACTCCCAAAAGTTAGCTAATAGTAAAGACGTAACTTCATATCCTTAAAAGCATCGAACTAAAAAGGAGCTGCTGCACCATTAAATACGCTAAATAAAGTCAATAGGATCCATCCAATTTTATACATATGCCACTAAAAACAGCAACTAGACCAACCAATAGTTTTGTAGTTTAAGCAACTACAATATAGTTAACACGTTGAATAAACAAGACGTTTGAGGCATGTCAACACGGCACAAATCTATCCATAAGCAAACACATGGTTGCTTCTGACATGGTAGCGCTAGTAGTTTCTCTCTGAGCAGCCACCATCTCCTTCTGAGCTTCCTTTTCCACTGCTTCTTCGGACACATCTTTGGCTTTGGAAAGGAAGCTCTTGCGGGCAACAACTTTCTCTCTGATCTTTGCCAATTCCCCCATCCACCCCTCTACCATGCCAGGCATTTTTCTCAGCACTCGAAGTCTAAGAATACTATGTAACAAGCTTTAATTTCTCTTTTTGTTGATCTCTGTTTATGTTTATATAGAACTATAAAGAGGAATGAAGTTCGAAGCTTCGTGAAAGTGGGTATATGTTATAAAAGGGATGTTTTGGAGCCACTCTTGGATGCAATGGAACATTGAAGAAATACCAATGGGATATGCTGACAGTTTGGGATATTCGTTGGAAGATTTATTGGTTGCTTATTGCTTACTACATCCCATGAGTGGTGCATATTCACTTTCATAATTTTCTCTTTTTGGTTACTTCGACTCTGAATGTAATAATTTATTCTTGACTGTGTTACTCATTAAGAGCTAATTTTGTTATTTTTATGGCACAAAAATTAAAAAATTAAAAAAAAAGGCGTACAACTATGAAAAAAATGAAGAATAAACTAATTTTTATTTAAGAGTAACGGTACATTTCTAATAATTTAAATAAAATAAAAATTAATTCGTAATATTTTTAATAATATAGATAACAAACTAAATTATTTTAAAATTTAAAAACTATTTATTAATTAAAATATTAATCTAATAAACTAAAACAACTAAAAATAATTGAAAATAATTATAGAAATATATTATTAACACTTACGCTATTTTTTTTTCAATCTAAATCTGTATCTGAGAGTAGATTTATTATCAACAAGAATTTTATATATTTTTTAAATTAGAACAAATTAATTTTTTTTTACTACAAAACTTGATTCATATAATTGGTCCTAAAAAATTTCTCACGTCATTAACCGAGTCATTCCTCTTGAACTTATGCTTGAATTACAGGTGTCTTGAAATATTTAACCACCATTTTTGTATCCTTGAGATATCTTTTTTTATACTACGCATGAAATAAGAAAACTTACTTTCTAACACTCAAGATATTAGAGTAAATTATTGTGATAATTTTTTTTATTGAAAATTTTTTTTTGTTCCTCTTGCAATAGATTTAGAGTAAAAAAAATTTCTTTTCACTTTTACTTTGAAAATATCTTGACCAACTTCATCTTTAATCAAATAATATTTTTCTTCAAAAATAATTTTAAATTCTCTTTTAATTAGTTATTAGCACTTCACAAATTTTGAATCAATTTTATAAACCAAAAGAGTATCATAAATTAATTTTGTGCCTAAATAGCTTGTTATTGAAATTGTCCCATTTCTTTTGACTGATATGGAATCACCATTACCCATTTTGACTTTGGTAATGTTAGTCTATATCAAATCTCTAAAGTTCCTTGTTGTTGGTCATGTGGTTAGTGTAACCACTATCAATTAGTTAACCTTCATTTGATTTAAAGTTTGAGAAGTAAGTAGCAATAAACAAATGGTCTTCTTCCTCTTTATCAACAATTTTAGCCTTTTCATCTTGGTGTTGATTTTTATTCTTACATATAGCATCTTCATGTCACATTTGGTTGCATTCATTAAATTGTGCATAAGGCCTTTTCCAACATTTGAAAGAAGAATGACCATTTTTTCTACAATGATGACATGAATGATGAGATTTCTTCTTATTGTATTTTGCACTTTCATGATGCATGACATGTAAGACTCCTTCAACAATACCTTCTTGTCTCATCGCACATTTTTACTCTTGTACTTGAAAGATATTTAAGAGTTCTACTAATGTGATTTTAAACAAATACTTAGTATTTTCTAAGGTGGTGATTGTGCCTTCGGAACTTTTCAACACTTTTACAAGGATTTTTTTAAAAATTCTAGAATCAAGAAACTCAGTACTTAGCAATCTTACCTTATTAGCTATGTCAAGTAGTATGTTTGAGTATACTTTGATTATCTTAGACTTTTTCTTTTTTTGAAGTTTGAATTTCCTTGTTAAATTCATTACTTGCACGCCTCAAATTCTTTTATTTTCAACATATTCTTCCTTTAAATAATCTCAAATTGACTTTGTTATTTTTAAAATCATAATCCTAGTGAAGATAGTTGTTGACACACTAGCAAAGCCTTCAGTGTTTTCTTCTCCTTGTGATTTTTTATTTGAGCTATGTGGTAGGACGGTGCACTAACCAAAAAAATTTGTAATTCGACAGCTTCCTAAAGTTCCAAAGCTTCCAAGTGAGTCTCCATTTTGATAGTACAAAGATCATAGTTTTTTCTATCAAAGATAGAAAGAGCAACTTGTGAGAAATTTGATTCAACATGCATTTTCACAAGTCCGTAAGAAGACAATTCTGATACTACTTTGTTGATTTTTATAACACAAAAGTAAAATAAAAAATAAAAAAGAAAAATACGTAAAATTAGAAAGAGAATAAACTTAATCAACGATAACTGTACGTTTATGATAATTCAAATAAAATATAAATTAACTATGTAACCGAAAGATTTCTAATAAATTAAATTATTTCTAAAATGTAAAAACTATTTATTGAATAGAATATTGATATAATAATCTGAAACAACTAAAAATAATAAAAGTAATTACAAAATCATATTGTTAACAATTTTGATAAACTTATCAACAAGTATCTATAAAAAAATAAAACAAATTAAGATAAATGTATGTATTTTATCCTTTTGAAAATCTTACAATTCTTACATAAGTTAAGGTAACCTTTTCAACAACTTCTTTGTTCTCCGCATAGAATATTTAACAGTGTAACTCAGATCAAACCAACATGAATAGAGCCGGTTCCATATATATATATATATAATTTTCTTACACTTACGTGAGTATAAAAAATTTTATATTTAATTTAAATTTTTTATTTAACTTATATCTAACTTGTTATAATTTATTACTTTATTTATCGTTAGATGTAAGTTAAATAAAATACTAAAAATAAGTTATATATATATGTATAGTGAAAGATTTTCTCACATTTACGTAAGTATATAAATTCTTATATTTAATCTGAATTTTTTATTTAACTTATATCTAACTGGTTATAATTTATTACTTTACTTTAAAATTTTCAAAATGAGTTATACTTACATTTTTCTTAATCATTTAAAATTTACACTTCTTTTCTAATTTATATTATTATTCTTTTTTATATGCGAAACTTATGTACTCACCAGTCATAGCACAAGCTACACTCCTAAAAATTGAAATTGTTATTGAGGCCCTAATATGACAAATCATTTTAGTCTCTATTTTTTTCACCAATTGACACGATGAAAATGTTAATATGATACAAAGTCATAAAATTTACAAAAGGTATTATTTCAGTTTTTTTGTCGTCTTCGTATCCAATTTTTTCTCTTATTTTATTTATCTAGAAATGAAGCGCGTCTGAAAATTAATATTTTATTTGTTAGCAGGTTTATTACATTCCGTGATGGTTCGAAATAAAGATGACAAGAAGAGATCAAAATAATGGAAGATGGAGGA